CCCGCCGGACAACACTACACCCACAGCTAGAGGAATAACAACTAGTTCGCCCTCGCCTCCGAGCATGGCGAACACAACGCGTACAAAAGGTACACCCGCGTTCCGGGGCGGTTCTCACCGCCCCCAGCCACCGATTAGCTAATTGCACAGTCGACGGACATCGTGGTTTCGGTTCACGACCTCGATTGACCTTATGAGCACATGCGTGGCCCTACCCACAGCGGAGGGCCCAAACCCGTGGGTTCTGGCTAGCCCACCGGTTCTGCTTCAGATGAAGCTTTAATAGTCTCGGGACTGAAAGCAAAAACATCAGTTAATACAAGATACAAGAAGTATCATAATAATATTGAATTGAATTCCCATTATATTGGAATCTATGATACGTAGTCTGCACGTGCTTTCACTTGATGGTAATGCACCATAGCATTTCAGTTGCTTGGCACTTGAAGACCTAATCCCCTTAATCTTAAGGGGATCGACTCCGGTTACTTCACTCGCTAGATGTGAGGCAAAAGCATTGGTGCCTCCCCTGCCTCATGTTGGCCTTCTTTAACTATATTGTTCAAACAAACAATAGCAGCCTAAACTGCTGCTTGATTCTGTCGAAGTAGTGCTATACATTGTGGCATACTCATTAAGTGTTATAAACGTTTACCGGGTGGTTTAATGCCACTGAGAACTTATATAATCTCCCATAAGATTCCAAATCGCGTAGCACATTACAGATGCAATTCCATGTCCCAATTAGCTTTGGTTTCTTCAGCTTATAAAACGGTCAGCGTTGTGATTGTTTGTCAGGATTCCATGGTGTGTATATACTTGTTTTTATGTATCAGCTCTCTCGGATTTTTGCGCTAATTTTTCATAAGATTAGTGATGACTCGGTCTCCCTGTCCTTGTCGATTCTTTACCGAGATGTGCACGACCTTCGAGGATGCTATGCCCAGATTGTTGTTAATTTAAAAACAAATCTCCAACTGCTCTTGATCATCGCATCATCGCTGCAATTGACCATTTCAATTGAGGTTAAACGCATCTTGCTAGGTTTTTAATGGTTGGAATCTAGCAATTGACTACACCAAGTTTTGCCGCTCCCTAAATTTTGCCGCCTCAATCCGCCAATTGGCGAACATTGCATATCATCGAAATATTTTTTTAACTAGTTAATAATTTTTCTTATTTTTTAAGTAACACTAAATACAAGTTTTTATGCTTCATTAAACCTGCATATTCTCGAAAAATACTTGTATGCCGGCATACGGATTTTGGTTTTTCCTTATTTAATTTACTAGCTGCTGCCCGCGACTACGTCCGCGTAGAATAGGCAGAAGGCGTAACATTCAGATAGAAAGACAGATATACATAAAATATGTATATACATTATAGCCCATGTCTTATTCTGATGTATAAGCTATATTATTGTAAATTTTCATCAGAATCCATTCAGTAGTATTTGCGTGAAAAAGTAACAAACATCCGTCCATACATACAAACTTTCGCGTTAATAATATTAGTAAGGATTATTTAAAATTTCCTTCCCTAAACATAGTTAACAGATCCTGCATTAAGGCTAATGTTTTTAAAGAAATAAAAGAAAACCCGATAATTGAATTAAATAAAACTGTTAGGGCCACGCAGCAGCCTCGGCTGTTGCACGAATGGGCAGGCTCGTCCGGGTAAGTACCACGACCTCACAGAAGACCGGCGTAAAGTGGAAGTATGACAAATACTTTCGCGTTTCGTCTGGTGAGCGAGGTAGCCGGAGCCCGATTTTCAAAAGGTTGTCAACGCATCTGTAATCCTCGGATGTAGCAGATGTCCGTGGGCGGCGGTATTCACTTAACATCAGGTGAACCGCCTGCTCGCTTGTCAACTTTTCACATAAAAAAATGAATGCTCATTTTAAAAATGTATTGTGATGTTAACGACAATTGAAATTTATTGTAGGCGATGAAATTGTGGATATTAAAATATTTAAGTCTTGTATAATATCTATTACGAACGAGACTTTTGGGTAATTTATCTTCTTGTTAAATTCATAACAATGAACTCATAGAATAGATTGGATTCTAGTAAAGTAAAAAGTACTCTCTAAACTTTTTATTGGTTTTATTTCAAAATTTATGTTCTTTGTAATAACACTTTATTTGGTTATAAAGTTAAAGTTCTTCTTTCTTCTACCTTACAATATCATAAAGTTGCGTATCATCGCGATTGATCGCCTCAAAAGAATTATTCTTAAAAAAATAGATTTAAAGAAAGAAATAAGTGTCGATTTTTTCTATTAGGTATCATTATTCTCATTATTGATGTCTACAAAATTCCATTTATAAAGAAATGCGCAAGTGATATATATTCATTTTCTATTAACTATTTATTTACCATACAAATTTGATGGACTTTTTATTATATTCTTGATTTGAAAAATTTTCAAACTATAAATTGACAATAAAATACATATAAAATCCCCGCGATAGCCCATTGTCAGGGCGCTCGATTCTAATTCAATACACTTAAAGTTCGATCCCCTCTCCCGACACCAATAAAATTGTTAATTTTAAGAGCTGGCTTATCACGTGCGCTGAAGGAAAACATCGTGAGGACCTACATGTTTTCGAAATAATAAAACAAAAAAAATTCGAAGATGTGTGTAAAGTCGGCAAATCTGCAGTGTGGTCTAGGCATGGACGAGGCTATGCCCCGGTACCCTCTGTACTGAGCAGGCCTTTGCCCAGCAGTGGTACATGTATAGACTGTTGCTTCACATTACTTTGAACTAAACACTAGTTCATCTTCAGTGCAGGTTAACACCAAAGATACAAATTAAAATTTTACAACGTTTTGATTCTATTAAAAGTTTTCATGATTCCGTGGCGAAGTTGCCAAGGTATTGGCTTCGGCGTCGGGGGTCGTGGGTTCGATTCCCACACGGGACAACTGTTTCTGCGACCCACAGATAGTATTTCGCATTTAGGTGTTTGTCCTCGTGCAATTCATGTTTGTAAAAGTCCTTACAACACAGGTTAATGTTATCCTAAAGTGAGGGCAATGTTTCAAAAAAACTCAACTCATGTTCGAAAAGAAACTCGGACAAAACTCAGACAACGGCAAAACTATCGTTGCTTCAATGGGTATATACTATTTTTGTAATAAAGTCGGTGACGCAGAGTCTCAGTCGTTTCCTACATGAAATGGTACAGAACCAAAGGAATGTTTATTCTATTTTGATGGTAGTAGCGCGGACGACCTCGCAGGATAGCTAATAGTGCGATAAATCATGTTGCTCTAATGAAAATGGTGTCTTTGACACAGTATTTACCGTCTGTCCGGTCGTTTGGTGATCTGTTACCGCACTGCAGGAGTAAAATATGGTCGTGATCGTTCATTTTTTTTTATTGGAGAAAAGGGGCAAATGAAGGAGGCTCACCTGATGGTAAGTGATTACCACTTGCAACACCCGAGGGCTTACAAATGCCGGCTTTAAGGTAATGTTTCAACTCGATATGCGGTTCGCATACCAACAGTATTCTTTATTAGTTTGTTGTACGTATCACATTTGTCAAAAATTACCTCCATCGCCTGATGTCTGCAAAAGCACCCGCAATAGGCGGGAAAGTTTTATGGTCTTGCAGAAGACTGGCGCCGAAAAGAATTATATTAGTTTCGTAAGCGATTTACTCGGGGTAATTTCTTTTAAAGTTCGAAACCGAAACTTTGATCGCTCGAGTTTTTGTTGATGACCGTTATATTCAGTTAACGTGACGTGAACCGCTTGCTCGATTGTCGCCTACATATACTGGAAAGGCAAAATTACTTAACTGCCAAATAGATGTTTGGGGTTTAAGTAATTTTGCCTTTCCAGTGTATATATATTATATATTATTGTGTGTGTTTTTAATACTTTCTTATGTTCTAAAGTTACATAGAACACTATTTTTTATAAAAAAAAAAAACATATCTTTGGCATTTAAGCCAGAACGTTGATTGCACTAGTTGCCATAATCCAGATAGATACATGCTAAGCTCGTAGACACTGATACACTCGATTGCCTACAATATAACGTGCATCGTCGGTGTATGTGCGCAGAGATTATTTGGTAATCGGCGACATCGTTTAGTAAATTTCCGTCGTCATATAAAGTCCTCGAATACCTCTTTCAACATACTGTTAAATCCACTATTGTGGTAATATGACGTGCCAGCTAATTGAAAAAGGACTTTCTCGAAAAGTGTTGCTTTAAAATGGTTTATGGCGATCTTTAATCTTTTATAATTTGAAGCTAGGCTGTTGTCGGTGCAGCATCCCAGTAATTCAGCTGTGTAACACCCTCTATCCTTACCTGTTAATTGCTCTTTACCTCCCTATAGCAACATTTATTTTCTTCTTTATTTGAGATATATAGCAGATCCCCGGTCTCCTCCTACCCGGTTTTCCTTCTATCTTTAAAATTTATGTTCGTTATTTGTTATCGAAAACGCGATAAAATCCTTCAACTAGTTTCATTTAATATGTATAATATTCGCGTAACATCAAGAAGTCAATCAGTACAATCCCTCAATGAGGAATGTTTAGAGACGACCACAGCTCAAGTAGGCAGGTTGTCAGTTATTTGCTGGATACTTCAAGACCGGACATATTTTTACAAAACATTATCTAGTCCCAAACTATGCAAAGGTTGTACTAAGGATATTAGATAACTGATATACATAATAGCACTTTTCTTTTGTTAATAAATACATATTATAGATATGTAATAACCCAGACACTAGAAAAAACTATGTTCATCACACAATATTTTTCTAATAGTGGGGAACGAACCCACACCCTCTGGCGGAAGAGACAGGGTCACTATTCATTAAGCCAATTGGGTCGTCAATTTCAGATGTGGATGTGGTTCCTGGGTTTAAGCACCTGGTGCGTGGAGAGAGGCTTCCAAGACTTATTACTAGGCTGATGACTACGATAGACGCATGGACACTGTAACCAGGTCTTGTTTCAGGTATGCTCCCTCGCCAAACAATTGGACATGACGGAGCGGCAGGTGGAGCGCTGGTGGCGGCTGCGCCGCTCCCAGGACAAGCCCTCGACCCTGGTCAAGTTCTGCGAGAACGCGTGGCGTTGCGTCTTCTACCTGTACAACTTCTCCTACGGTCTATTCGTGCTGTGGGATAAGGAGTGGCTGTGGGACATCGACCAGTGCTACATCGGCTACCCACATCAGGTATGGCGTTTATCGTTGTATTGTTGAATGGTCAAAACTGTAGTCTTATAGCCTGTTTTGAAGACTCGCTTGGAGTTTGGATTTGGAAACACCCACTGCATCTTCTGCTGCGGTGGGTGTGTCCACATACTGGTCGAAAGACATCTAAATTGCAATTTTGAGTCGAAACGAAGAAGAAGACCATAGTTTTAGTATAAAGCGGTCTTCCGACTGGCAAAAACTTTGTAATATAGATGGGATTCGTAACTGGCTACCATGGCTATGGTGGCTACTACCATGGACAAGCTTTGCCTAGTGTGGTGCCAATGCATAATGTAAATGTTTGTAACTTTTACGGTGGTAGGGCCACGGCCCGTTCGGGTAAGTATCACGACCTCACAGAAGACCGGCGTAAAGTGGAAGTACGAAAAATACTTTCGCGTTTCGTCTGGTGAGTAAGGTAGCCGGAGCCCAATTTTCAAAAGGTTGTCAACGCATCTGTAACCCTCGGGTGTAGCAGATGTCCGCCCATGGGGGCGGCGGTATTCACTTACCATCAGGTGAACCGTCTGCTTGTTTGGCCACTTTTCACATAAAAAAAAACTGAACGTAGTTTTCATTTTCAAAAGTATTTTCGTCTTCATTTCATTTTCATTATTTACTTCTTCCACCCGTTTTGGAGTTGCAAACTTAAATTCTATTTGACAAATTTCCATACGTGTCAAATTCATATATTCAGGATGTTTCCCGTTAACAATTTTATTTGTGATTTCTTCAATTTTCACACAAAAACCTATTAAAATTGTTGGAGTTTATTATTTTACGAATGCTATCTTTTATTATATTTATTAAGTAAACGAAATTAAACATATCGGCCTATACACCGTATATAGACTATATAGACACCGTAAATGTCGCGAATTAGTTATTTTTTATGTGAAAAGTTGACATTTGTAGAAAATACGGACGAGGATTTTTTCACCACTGCGCGAATCTTACCCACATCTTCCGGATTTACGTCCAGACGCTTAATCACTAAGCTAAACGGCTGACTGCCAAAACGTCAACGAAAATCTCAATTTATTTTATTTACATTGTTTTTTTCGCATTTTGAGCATTGCACATAGATGCGTCACCTATGTGAAAAGTTGTCAAGCGATCTGTTGTTCACCCGATGTTAAGTTTTACGTGTAGATATCCAAATCTACACATAACACAGCAGAATTTGCTGTTTGGCCCCAGCAAAGTATCGTTAATTTCGACCGTTGCTCACGGAAAGCAATTGCTGACGAATAAATATTTATATAGCTTTTTCCATCCCCAATGAGGTATAAAATGATACCAATAATCGAGTGTTCAGCGAGAGATGACAAGTGGTTTCTGTTGTATCTATACATACATACAGATAAATAAAATTGGAGTGTCTGTTTGTAATATTAAAATAACCGTTTTTTAATAAATGCATATGGATGTATACACGGTACATATTATTACCAAAATATTTGTTTTTACAATTTTCGTCTGTCTGTCTGTTTGTTTCGGTTAATCTCTGAAACGGCTGGACCGATTTTGACGGCACTTTCACTGGCAGATAGCTGATGTAATAAGAAGTAACTTGGCTACTTTTATTTCAGGAATTTTATTTATTTTAAATTCCACGCGGACGAAGTCGCGGGCACGGCTAGAACCACACAAAACAAAAATTTGAATAACAATTTTAGTTTTAAATCCTTTAATTCACGCCCCGGTAGACTATCAACATGCAATACATATTGCTTTCAGGGTTTAACAAACGACGTGTGGTGGTACTATATGATCTCTTCAGCATTCTACTGGTCGCTGACCATATCCCAATTCTGGGACGTGAAACGCAAGGACTTCTGGCAGATGTTCGTCCACCACATAGCGACCATCGCCCTACTCTCGCTGAGTTGGGTGTGCAACCTTCACAGGATCGGCACTCTGGTGCTGCTCATACACGACTGTGCCGATATACTGTTGGACGTAAGTGTACTCGAAACAAATCATGAATGAATGAATACTTTATTGTCCACCACACGTAAAAGGATACACAAAATTACAAACAATAAATGGAATGCACAATTTGCAAATCATTTATTCATCGAAGTATGAAACATGAATTGCATATGTCGATAGTAATTTTTTTTATATCTGCCACCGTTTCGTAATGAGGACCCTCTATCGGAGAAGAAACAGGTGGAAATAAATTCCGTAAAATGTACTAATAGTATACAGTATATACAGTATATACTTTTTGTTAAAAACAGCTTGGGAGCGATATTTCATTCCCAGGGGTTATTATCATTACTGTATTAATTTATGTTATTATGACAATTTTTGAAAAGTTTTTCTTTAATAAATTTCTCTAACCTGTTAATAGTCACCATCCTTCGAGAGTCTTCGCCAGAAGAATGAGTCGTGTTGTTAGTGGTATTGGCTGGGTATCTTACGACCCGTCCATATATGTGGTCACTACAAAATAATTTTCCCGCATAAAAATCTAACCCATGACCTTAGGCGCCGACGATAATAGTTTAGCAAATCCTGTAGGGGTCATCAGTATACTGTTTAGTTCAAGTTCAAATATAGAAGCATTACACTTGATTGTAAAAACTCTACTACCGGTTCGGAACTGAGAAGAACCGGTGAAAGAAACTCAGTGGGACATTTGTTTACTATTTTTTGACAATGAAATACCATCATCATCGACCAACCTAGGTGGGATAAGGGCAGCAGGTATCTTGTGCTTATCCTACCTAGGTGGGGTCGACACAACTTGTGAGCCAAGTTGTAAGCGGTTTTGGCTATGATATTTACTACCGGTCGCCTGCCCTACGTCTACGCTCCTTGGGAAAAAACCCAGATCCGGAACAGTCATTTGTGGGTCACACAAATACTCGTCCCGTGTGGGAATCGAATCGACTCAGAAACCGATGGCTCGCCAACGAAGCGAACCAGTCGTCGACAATGAAATATATAATGTACTGACGTGTGTAAGTAGTCGGCCTACTTATTTTTTAATTTTTTGACTGCCATACTGCCTTCTGTCTGCGCCTTCCTCATCCACCACGATTCGTTCCATTTGCAGGCGGCGAAGGCAACCAAGTACGCCAACTACCAGAAGCTTTGCGACACTCTCTTCGCGATATTCACCGTTCTCTGGATCGTGACCAGGCTGGGCATATTCCCGTTCTACATCATATGGAGGTGAGTGCACTCTTCGCTGGAACACTTCACGCCAGTCTTCCGTGCGGTAGTGGTACTCCCCGCACGGACCTGTCCATTCGTGCACTGACCTTGCGGGCTTTTCTCATCAAAAAAAAAATGCGCCGTGTTGTGAGCGCGTTTCACGTTTACAATTAATCTCACGCGGACGTTTAGTGTGTTTTTTTTTAATGTGAGATGGTGGCAAACGTGCTGGCGGCTCAGCTGCTGTTAAGTGATAACCATTTGCAACATCTGTAGGTTTGCAGACGCGTCCGTACGTTATATTTTTATAATGCACCCCTTATTTTTTATAATAAATAAATGTAAATATTTCTCTCAACGTTCTATAATCCCAAACTGAGCAACGCTTGTACTATGGCTACTAGATAACTGATAAACATACTTTTCTTTTGTAAATAAATACATATTACACATCCAGAAACAATAAAAATACAATGTCCATCCCACAATTTCCAGTAGTGGGGATCGAACCCACACCCACGCCAATCGGGTCGTTAATGTGGCTATTGAAACCCCTTCTGCTCGCCCCCAGCTCGTCGGTCCGCGCGCCAATGCTGCTGCCGATGTTCGCCGCCTACTACATCTTCAACTCGCTCCTCTGCCTGCTCCTGGTGCTGCACATGGTGTGGACCTGGCTGATCCTGCAGGTGGCCTACAAGGCCATCACGGCGGGACAGGTGGGTGGCGACGGGGGCGGGTACGCTGTGTACCCGAGAATGTACCGTGTGTACCTAAATGCTCACTCGACTGTGGATGCGACACAATGATGTACAAATAATCATTTAATCACTAACGAAATACCTGTACGCTCTGTATTCATTTTATAATTGATTCCCAGGATTTCCCTAAGCATCTCCGGAGCCCAATATCCAATACCAATGAAATTATGGGACCACATTCACTCAGTCGAAAGTTCTGAGGTAACAAACCTAGAAAATTACAGTCTAATTGAGGACCTCCTCCTTTTGAAGTAGGTTAATAAGAGATAGATGTGACTCTAGTGCATCAAAACTGAGACACTTAACTTTAAGTCAAAATCAAAATTTCTTTATTCAACATAGGCTCTTACTTAAAAAAAAAAAACTACCACCGGTTCACTAAACTAGACCTGCCAGAGAAGAACTGGCTTAATTTTACAACGTATTTATAAAAAAGAAACTCTGTTTTTATAAATACGTTGTAAAATTAAGGCTAGATAGGCACTCTATAGACTATCTCTTTCCTTCTGATACGTACTTAATCACCTGTCCCTTTCCATTATATACGTCATTATAATGTAAAGCGGAACAATTTTCTAAACATGCGTTATCTTTATTAGAACACAGTTAAGAATTTTAATGATATTATGCTATTATACGGGGACTTTTCTAAGTGTATCCATTTTTTTAGTTAAATTCTAGACATAACTATTGTTATATAAACAATGATAAATATTTAAAATCACTCATAATTAATTAATTACATTCATTTGAACTTATCAGCAACACGATATTAGCACTTTCGCAACACGATTCATATGTGACATTTGAACATGTATCTACATTGTATTACACATGTCACATGTGAAAATGCTAAAATACTGTTACGTGTTAGGGGGTTCGAAGGATTTGGAGAGAAAGACCTGCTGACTCTTTTGAAGACTTTATTTACTAGCGCTAGGTCCAACACAAAGCACTAGGTCCAAACACTAAGCACTGACGATGTCCTGGGTTGTAGCCAAGTCGTAGGTTTCACTGGTATCGCTCTTGATCACTAGTTTTCGCTCCGAAGTCGCCTTGAAGGTAGCTCAAACTGAACTGTATTCGCTCGCCTCCCCGCGGCTTTTTATATGGGCCGAGACCGGTTCCAGACTAATCCAGAAAGATCCTTCCTGGAACGTACCCGACACGCCCGAACATGTTCGTGATTCCGGAAAGTTCGCGAATGTACCCGGTTTTCGAGACTATAGTTCCACAGCAGTTCCTCTAACGCCATCTCGTATTGAATAGGGGGTTTTATGTCGTCTTTGTTCTTTAGTGATTTTAATAGTTGACGCTAGATGGCGTTAGTTCCTTTGTGTGTTCATAACAATACAATGTATCTACATTGTATTTTAGCACTTTAAGCAGTAATTGGCGCATCCATTGTTATACGAAATACGTTAATATTTTCGTAGGTGTGGCAATCAGCCGTTTAGCTCAGTGGCCAGAGCGTCAGGCCGTGAATGCCGAAGACGTGGGTTCGTTTCCCACAGCGGCGTCGATCTTTTCGTACCTTTTCTACAAAAATTTTAATTATTTTAATTTGTTTCAAAGTGACAAGAAGAAAAATAATTTAAACCCAATTATTTATTAGAAAAAGATACGATGTATATCAATATTAATACCGAGAACAATCCTTACTTCTTTACTTTCTTACTTAATATTATAAACGCGAATGTTTTTATCTACGGATGGATGTTCGTTACTCTTTCACGCAAAAACTACTGAATAGATTTTCATGAAACTTTACAATAGTGTAGCTTATACATCAGAATAACACATAGGCTATAATTTATAAAGATATTGTGTAAAATATAGGTAATTAATGATAAGTGTTAACTAAGTAGGAAAAAAATCAGCCATCTGCGAGATATTCGGGTGTAAAATAAAAACACTCATTGTTAATTCCCTTTGGCCGCGCGGGCGAAGCCGCGGTAAAAAGCTAGTTTCTAATATTCGCTTCATCGTTCCCTTTCAGCTCGACGGCGACATAAGAAGCTCCAGCTCCGAGATCAGCGACAGCTCGCACCAGTCGAATCACAGCACGCCCAATCGCCTCAACCATAAAAAGTGAGCTCGTCTATACATTATAATGACATTACTTATTTGTAACCAATAAACTTATTTTTTTTTTATGAGAGAAACTGGCAAACGGGCTGGCGGTCCACCTGATGTTAAGTGATAACCGCCGCCCATGGTCATTTTCAACACTCGTAGTGTAAAGATGCACCCCGAATTTACACTTAAATTATTATAATAACTTCTATTACAATTAACTCAATTCACTAGCTCGAAGCAACTCAAGACAACGTGTTTTGCCGCCAACTAACAACCGAACAGCAATTTATATTGTTGTAGGTGTTGCCACCATAAACCAATAGAAATACTCTAGATCAGTGTTGCCTACTAAAATATTTTAACCCAATGTTTGTGTTTGCTAACAGTAGGGTTGCAAATGCGTTGCCACATTTAAATAAAGTGGGCCCCGGCTACTTCACCCACCAGACGAAACGCAGAAGTGTAACACTTTTACTTTACGCTGGTCTTCTGTTAGGGCGTGGTACTTACCCGGACGGAGCTGCCCATTCGTGCAACAGTGTTGCGGCCCTACCACCGCAAATTATTATTATTATTATTATGTGGGGATATTTAGTTGTTTTCTCGTCTGGTTGGGTTTATAAATAAAAATGGACATATAGATATATATTGTATATAATAAGTACATAAAGAGGGCCCAATCAGACGGAAGCCCTCGGCAGGGGAGGACCAAACGGCCGACGGTTAGGGTGAAAGGGAGAGAAACCGGCGGACGATGCGGGCGATAATTATTATTATTACTATTATTAAAATTTATTAACCTTTTCAATGTGATACACCAACACTGGAGCATATTAATCTGGCTCGTCCGAGGAGCTACAGCCTCACAGAACAGATATGAATAGAATTATAATTATTTAGTAGTATATTTTAGTTTTAGTAATATTGTATATTATATATATTCTATGTGAAAAGTTGTCATGGACATATGCAATACCCTGAGACTAGCAGATGCGTTGACAACTTTGAAAAAGTGTGTTCCAGTTACCTCACTCACCTGACAAAAGTCTATTACTTCCACTTCGTGCCGGTTTAAAAATAAATAAATCATAAATATATCTTTGGTTTCAGGGAGACATAGGGGCTGCTGACTTTCGAGTCACCATTTGAGAAGCTGTTTGTGTTCAACTGGCCTTCGTAGCTTACTTCTAACCCGAAAACGATAAGTTACATACATGGAACAGTGAGATCTGCACATAACCTATCGCGACATGAATTTATATCAGAGTTTTTAAGCATTTTTAACGGAGTGCTTTATGAAATACACTTTCAATTCCACTGCCTCGTCCCGCGAGTTCACTTTAAAGTTATTCCAGTGTCAGTGGAATAGAACTTTTTTTTTTATGTGAAAAGTTGCCAAGCGAGCAGGAGGTTCACCTGATGTTAAGTGAATACCGCCGCCCATGAGCATCTGCTACACCCGAGGGTGACATGCATTGACAACCTTTGGAAAATTGAGCTCTGGCTACCACACTCACCAGACGAAATGCGAAAGTATTTGTCATACTTCCACTTTACGCTGGTCTTCTGAGAGGTCGTGGTACTCACCCGGACGAGCCTGCCCACTCGTGCAACAGCCGAGGCTGCCGCGTGGATCTACCACGGTTCAATGTTAATAACTTGTCGAAATTGTTTAGGATTTATCACATCTCAATACCCATATATTTTTAATTTGATAGAGATTAGTACAGAAATGTCGGTAAAGGCTACATTAAACGAATTAAAAAGTGTGGCGAACAGATTTATGTGCAGATCATATGAAATTGCAAGTTTATGTGAGTGGAGTTTGGATTTAAGTTTATTTATATTTACATAAATAAGAGAAAGGTTGGTTACTTTAATTTCCTCATATTTCAGTGTGATATGGAGAAACCACCACTTTAAATTTTTATAAGGTGTAATAGAACAAAATAAAGGGTGAAAAGTAAATTTACTTATGTAATGTGATGCAGGTTGTGTAGAAAATATATCATAATGTCCATCCCAAAGAAGTAGGAAATTTTTATAAAGAATTTCCTTAAAATGTCCAAACGCGCGTTAGATACTTACTCGACTTAACTATTTTATTATCGCTGTAATAAACCATTGGCCTATGCAAATAAACAATTAAGTATTGATAGGACCGTTCGACATATCTCTTCTAGTTCAATCAACACTTTCCATTTGCTCCAAGATGAAAATTTAATAAAATAAATCTATTTATTTATTTTCCCTTTAAAATACGGCGACTTAAAAAATATAGAGTAACTGAAATAATTTTCGCAATATAAATGTTTATGTAATGGGAAATGTCAAAATTGTTTATAATTTTTTCCCGCTCTTTCGACAAACACGTCGTTCATAATTTTTTTGTTATATTGTTGCAGGCAAAACGTTAGTGCCTTTGTTATAATTTTTTATTTATTAAGTGTAAACAATTGACTTAAGTATTATAAAAACTGTTAATTCGTGATTTTATGACATCGCCTATAAATTATTTCCAGTATAAGAGAAATATAATGAATATATTGCCTTAAAAATAATGGTGCATACATGCCTTACCTTACTGTTCTAATATTAGATCGATCTCTTGTATCGATTTTTTTATTTGTTGTATTTCGGAGATTATTTTTTGAATTTTTAGCTAAATTATCGCTAATACATCCTATTGGCTTAGTATTGTATTGTTGGTGAAAAGTTTTATCAAGGCATTTACTGTACACAGTATTAAATTTATTTTCTGGGAGACATTTGATTATGATAGCCTACTTTAATTTTTACCAATTTGTCGCTTGGATGTTAAATGGTAAACATTATTATTATTATTTTCTCATTTACGATCAACAATTTAGTCTGGAAATTAAATTTCTTTTTGAAGAGGCTACCTATTAGAATAGGATAGAAATTATTGTTTAATATTTTATCTATTTAGTTTTTGGTGTTAGTATAACATAATTTTTTTCTTTAGTAAGATACATAAGTATTTTGTTAGAACAAATTGGGTGGTATTCTTATATACATACATGCACTTAACTGTGCTTTTTATAAAGTAGTTAAGTACTAGCTTCCTCGTCCTTTTGTGAAAGGCATTTATTGAGTCTAAAGTACAGGCCTTAGTTTCAAGGGCCATATGAGCTGGGACCACATGTTCACCGAAAAATTTATTTGTTAGGAGTATGTCCCGATCAAAGATATCTAGCCAAAGTTATTTAAAATAAATGCCATTGTTAATATAATATTTATTGTGAAGGAAATCTGAGATTTTCTTTATTTCGTTACAATTTCAAAGCTATATTTAATTATTCTTATATGATTGTTCTGTTTTTATATTATAGTTTGTTTGCAAAGTGCTTTAGATGCATTCAATAAACCACAATTATTGTTGTGTTCAGTAATAATGGACCGGACGTCAGTTACGACATAACCTGTTTAAAATTAGTTTATTTGCTGAGTTTAGTTTTCAAGGTCTATTAATATAACACTAATTAACACTTCTGGTATACGTCGTGTACCGATCACAGTTTGACGGTGTCGAAAGCATAATTGGTGGTCTTATGCCTATCATTTACTAACTAGCACTATAACTGGATTCCTTTAAGTTGTGTAAGCGATACTCGGATTTGAGGCTCTCAATCGCGAATCTAATGTTGAGCGATGGAAACATTAGCAATTTTGTTTCCAACTATATCGGCGCCTTATATATTATATCAATAATTGTTATTCGTTAAAAACTAGATAGGAAAATTGTTTTTACATTTTATTAGTACATAAAGCACACCAGTGCTACTTACACTTAAAAATTTGTTGTAGATTAATGTTTAGGTTAGTTTTGGGTTGTGGTGCAAAGACGAAAAAATACTGTATAAGTATGGGCCTTCAAGAAATGCAAATGCAGTATTGACACATTACATAATATTATGATAAGCCAGATAGTATATTACGGCCTCCATTTTATTCAAATCCAATTTTATTCAATTCTTAAAACTGTATAGATTTTTTATAATTTGTAATCAGGTTATTTTAAGCACTATGTTTTTGGTAGTATGTTAATAATATAATTAAAAATTGATTGCATATAATAATACCAAAAAAAAACCATATCGCCTGAGGTTATTTACAATTATAAATGGCACACAACCTAGATAATAAAATATTTTTATTACGCTAACGTACACCCAAAGACGCTTTTTATGGATTAATTATACGTTAGTGGTTGAAATTAAGTCATGTATAAGGGTATGTATAGTGTTTAGTACTTTTGAGGGATTACCGGAAAAAAAATTATTCCGGAAAATCTCTTTTAAGCAATTTTGCTGATGTAGCCTCTGTCAAGTGGCAACTGAAAATTTCTTTTAATGATAGCAAACAGAAGCTTTTTTTTTTTATTTAAATGGATTCCCATCCATCCACTGCGTAAGCGGTTCACCTGATGGTAAGTCGCATACGCATTGCCAATCATTGAAAGAGAAATATATGCGAAAATAATAATACTAACATATTTTTTATAAATCTTTCTTTATTTTTCTATTAATGTTCGTTAACGTTTTGACTATCTGCATATTTTATTTTTTATGGATTCTCGTCTACAATGCGGGCTACATCTACTCTAATATATTATGCGATTGTCGCATTTCATGTAAATCTACTTATAAAAAATATTTTTTTTAAGTGCCGTTAAATTATAAATCTGCATAATATTTATTATTCTGTTTTGAATGTTCATTAGAATTAATGAATTTGTTCTTCCATATAGTGCAATTTGACTACTTTAAAATAGTAGGTAATAAAATTTGTCTGGAGTTTTTAGATGTTTGTATGAAAGAACTCGAAACGTAAAAAAGATAAGCAAGAACGCAGTTGTACTTACTTTGTAACAGCCAGCTATATTGAAAAAGTTTGTCTTCTGAATGATGCATCACAATTTAAATAGAAAAATAAAAGATTTTTAAGCCACTGTTGTCTCCATAGCATATGTGCCTTTTTGATAGGTTGGTGGTAATACTTAGAAATTAAAAAAATAACATGATTGAAGGGGTGATCAGTGATATAACTAGTTGTTACAGTATATTTCATGTGGTGATCTCAAAAATTAATGAAACATTCAAGCGTCTGATAAAATCTAAATTGACCTTAAAATTTATATTGTATAATGTATACTTATAAAAAGTGACCTACATAATAATCTATATATGTATATATATATATATATATATATATATTAAAATGGTCCCTGAATCCTGATATTTCAATAAACTATTTTATTAGTTGCAATACTTAGTTTAAAAACAATCAGACCTTTAAAATGATCAGAATAAGAACATTTTGATATTTTAATGGTTATGGATGTGTTTATCATACTCTTGAGTGTTTATCGTTTGATTTAAATTTTTATGTCTTACAGTTTGTTATAGAGCCTGTTTTTATGTATTAAAAACTTGACGATTGGAGATGTAGTGGCTACTGCGGGTACTTCGCGCTGTATATGCGAAAAAGAGACTTACAAAAGCGAAATTAAAATTAATTATGTTAGTCAATTTCGGAATATGTTTAAATTATTGTACAATTTCTTTTCTTTCTTTTTTTGTTAAATTAAGCCTTTTGTGAACAAAAGCATTTAGTTTACGATTAAATACCAAAAATTATATAGTGAACCTGATACGCGCAAAGCTTATCGAGATTTTTTATATTTTGAAACTTTTGATTTTTGTGTTACCTGTTATTGATTGGGGGTAATTATTGAATAAAAATTCTCTGTTGTACGAAGTGTCATGTGTATGTTGTGTGAATGGGCTTTGTTGTGCACAATGTATTACTTTCTGTATGCGTTTAAAACATGGGAAATAAAAAAATGCGTAAAAACTAATGTGTTTCGATAATTGTAATATAGTTTAAAATATCTTTAATTATGTGGCTCTAGTTGTAATTATGACGACACAATTGACCTAATCGACTCTAACTGCCTCTTTCGCCAGGTGTGGGTTCTATCTGGCCTATTGGAAAAATATTGTTATGGACATAGTGTTTTTACAGTGCGTATTAATATATTTATAATATGTATTTGCTTACAAAAGAAAATTGTTTTGTTAAGCTTATCAGTTATCTAATACCCATAGTACAAACCTTGCTGAGTTTGGGCTTGTAGAACATTGTGTTGAAATGTGTCTTGAAATATTTATTATTTATTCATTAAATTAAATAAAATATAAAACTAATAAGTCACGACAAAGGGGACTGACATATGAAATGGTAGCATAATCAAGGTTTTCTACAATTCGGATACTTTTAATTCAAATTAATAAATAAACAAACATTTTTTAATTAATTGATTTCATTTAAGTCTACTAGCTATCAAAAGTATGATTAGACCAACTACACCAACTTTATTTTGTATCTGTGTGAAATATTTTCTACAAATTGTAATAATCTGTGGAACAGTTCGCCTCGCTCCACCGCCGTTGTCTGATCGTCTGTCACTTGCAAAACTTTAACTTATTCTGTTTCGAAATTTCATTAATTATTCAATTTGGACTGTAATGAACTGAAAATTGTTGCGGCATATAAATATATTTCTAAATAATTTATTAAGAATGTTGCAACCGTTGATTAATTCATTTTGGAACGCGGACGTTTGGTTACCGCCAAATACGACGTGGGAAGATATTGCCCCGGGTCCACATAAGGTGGTGGTGTATACGGATCACCGTCACGTCTTCTTCCCAATACCGTTAGCATTTGTGTTTATAAGCCTACGTTATGTATTACAGAGGTAAGTGAATAACCTATTTTATAAGTTCTGAAAATTTTTTAATGGGGCGTGTACCAACTGTTACAAACATTTAATTATCATGTGTCATAAATCCTGATGATTGTCCCGAATTAATAATTGTTTCGTATATATTTCTTATCCGTATAATTTATAAATTGGTTTGTAGTTATATTAGAAAAAATATTACTTTTAATTCAAATAACCCAAACTTTCGCCGGCACTTTGGACGCCGGAAATTGACCTGTTACTTCTTTATTATTTTTTATTTTAAAACTGCGGTATCGTAATGTGACGATCCTTAAAAATTATAAGAAGAAATATTTCCTGAATATTGCCACGGGAGTTATGTGTTCATTCTAATAAATTTTGTACATCATGCTATATTTAATAACTACATAACTGCAGAATACTAATTTTTTTTAAAACTATTTTGATTTAAATGTTAGACATTGTAAATACAAAAAATAAGGCAAATGTAAATGACACTAACGTTGACGTAGTTCAATTAAAATAAATTTAAAACAATTGAGTAAAATCACAAATAAATTAATACACAAGCAGAATTCTCCGGTCGCTTATAGTTTTAGAGAAAAATATATTTAAAACTTGTTATTTTCACTAAGATAGTCCACCATTTTATTAATTTGACTTCAAAAACTCAATAGACAGTTCTGCCAACATGCATTGTATTGGTAGTTTGGTTTTTTATTTATTTAATGAGTCACAGAACCAACATAGAGTGAATCAGACTCAGATAAATTAGGTTAGAAGTGGTTATTTTTTTTATGACTACCCAGAAATATGAGCAGAATTGACATATTGACAACAAAAAAATGGTGGCTTTCTGTAGTGAAAATCAAATTATTTCATTATTTATTTTTCGAAAACTATAAGCGACTGGCAATTACTGCTTGTTGATGTTGATTAATTCATTAGTGATTTTTCTCTATTGTTTAAAATTTATTTTAATTGTATTATGCGAATGTCAAAATAATTTACATTTACCCAACCCTCCTTGGGAATAAATACCCGGATCAGGATTATCTGAGGGTCATACAAATACTTGCCCATGTTTGCCTCATACACACAATCTTTGGGGCCAAAGCTAAAATAGCTTAGCAACTGTACCACCAAGTTTTCAAATAATTGCCTGACATATAAACACCGGAAAGGTTGCAGAAAAGAGTTTTAGTTCAAAAAGGCTGACTATAAGCACACTAACCAAACAATATGGGGAAGTATAGTACCACTTAACTGTCGTAGGACCATGCAACAGTATCCTCTGTTGCACGAATGGGCAGGTTTGTCCGGGTAAGTACCACAACCTCACAAAGTAGAAGTGTTACACTTCTGCGTTTCATCTGGTGTGTGAGGTAACTGGGGCCCACTTTATTTAAAGGTGGTAACACGTTCATGGATGGCGGTTATCACTTAACATCAGGTGAACCGCCAGCTCGTTTGACACTTTCTAACATTAAAAAAATAGTATAAAACTTCCATTTCATGTCGGTCATCTTTGAAATGACTTCCTCAGATGTGCATACCCTTTGTTCAAGAGCATAATTTGCTACATGAAGAGGGATATTATACTTTCAAATTCATCTGCTCAGTTAATTGCGCAATTGGTAGCTTTTCAATCTCAATAGTTGTGTCAATACACTTTTTAAGTCCGCCAACATATTGGAAGAAACCAACATACATATTTGGTCAGAAATAAGAAAAAGACTATCCTCTTATATGGTTTCCGTTTTAGGCTTTGGGTTATAGTTCACAAGACATTGAACTTGATTCTCACACTGTATATGACAATGATCATTTAATAGTATTATTCAGTACATTAATCAGTTTAATAAAGTCAAACGGTTGTATGGCATCATTCAAGCTCCTCTGTATAAGCAATTTGGTATTTCATGCAATTGACTACGTGAATTATTAATTTGACATCTGCTGTCTGATGCATTCTTTCATTATTCAATTTATTATATTATGCGGGCATATTTATAAGTTAGTCTGTGAAGAAGTTGACTCATATATTTTGATGTTGATATAATAGACGAAGATAAATGCTACCAATATTTCATCAAGCTTATGTAACTGAAATGTGATAGGCAGTGAGCCTTGTCGCTGCACTCTGCGGCACTTTCTCCATCAAGTGATAATCACTATCTCAATTGATAATTTTCTGATTGAGAAATTTTAAAGTCCCCTATATTTGCTATATCAGTCCTGCTTCCTAATCATTGGGTCATTTATTAATTAATACCAACGTCAAGCCCAATGTGTTTTATATGAAAGAATAATGTTGGTGGAATGTGGTTTACCTTTTGCATTTTAAATTATTGACATTGCATAATATATTATTATTATTATGTGCGAGATTATCTAGCAGGTCATTTAATACTACATATATACTATACTACTCATATCTCAGTCTTTAACTATTGTATAATGCTCACAACAAGTCAAGGAGTATTCTTTTTTTAATATATATTGAATAGTATATTCTGTTGCACGAATGGGCAGGTCCATCCGGGTAAGTACCACAACCTCACAGAAGACTAGCTTAAAGTAGAAGTGTTACACTTCTGCAATTCGTCTGGTGAGTGAGGTAGCCGGGACCCACTTTATTGGCATTTTCAACCCTACGGCTGTTGAAAATGTCCATGGGTGGCGGTTATCACCCAGATCCGGAAATGTTACCTTACGAGATTCTCATAGTCGTCAAATCCCGGAAAAAGTTCCTTCGAAGATTATTAAAAAATCCTCATAAAAGGGAGCTATTATGTTAGAAACAAGTTGTAAAACATAGCTTTTACAATTTATAAAAATATAACTCAATAATTGCATATCAATATTACTTAGCTTTTCCAACAGAGCAACAGCCTTAACTTCCAATAACCAAAAACTAACTCGCGTACGTTCTAAGAGTTGAATTTATACTCTAGGGTGTAGGAAATATCACGACGCAATTGGTGTCGAACCATCAACTTTTGAATAAATCACAACTAACTGTACTAATAAATTATTGATAAATTAGATTTCATTAATTGCCCTTACTTTAGGATAACATTATCCTGTGTTGTAAGGACGTTTTACAAACATAAATTTCACGTGGACAATCACTCAGCGACACAAACTATCTGTGGGTCACACAAATATTTGTCCCGTGTGGGGATCGAACCCGCGACCCGCGACGCCGGAGCCGATAACTTGGCAACAGCGCCACGGAGTAATTTAATTATAACAATTATTATTGTTCGCCGATGTGAGAGAATTTACCATTGTTTTGGAGACCCTATACTCAGTTATTGATCCAGTTGATTTGTATTGCAAAGGGACCAACTATCTTCTTATTAGACTGACTCACTTCAACCGTTCCCAGCTGTGGACTTCCTATTTAATAACACGCCACGCGAAATTGCGAAATACCGAACTTGCCCGGTGGTCGCTCTCAGAGATACCAGTTAAGATTTAACTTGCGTTAAATTCGATCAAGTAAGTAGTTCCGCCTTAAAGGCTATCAAGGACACTTGATAAATAAACGGAATTAGCGCTAATTGGCGTTTCTGTGTAAAGTCGTTGTTTATATACATGTTATTAGTGTGCGTCGCGGGTCAAACGAGTCGTAGGTTCGGTGAATGCACTAACGCCCGTTTTCTTAGGAAATTTTGTCGGCGGTTCATTTTATTATGGCGTTATTGGTTCTATTACTTACTTAGTGTTATGAACAACATGTAGTTAAGATAAACTCTGTATAACTTACTAATAAAACTATAATAGTTAAATTTATATCAAACGTAACTTAATCGAATCAATAGTTAATGTGAATTTACCTAAGAATTACAGAAAACGGGTATCAGTAACATTTTTATGACATATGTATATCGTTGCGGATCCGGACTTTAGTCATACATGTTGCCATGTATTTAATGTTGCCATAAAACAGATAGATCATGATATATTGTATATGCGAAAGTTCAATCGAGTCCCTACTTATAATGTACCCTTAGATGGCAAATACATTGACGTCCCAATTGGCGTGGGGAGTAGGGAATCTGTCTCCTGCGCCAGAGGGTGTGGGTTCGATCCCCACTATTGGAAAATATTAGTATAAATATAGTGTCTGGGTGTTTAATTATGTTTATCAGTTTTCTAGTACCCATAGTACAAGCGTTGCTTAGTTTGGGACTAAGAGCCTCGCGTAACAAAGTGTCCGAAATATTTATTTATCTATTGTTTATTAATCGCAGTGCAAAATCTATTGAGATGCAAGCCGTTGAGATGCCGCCTGTGTGCGTTTCGCACACCGAAACGTTTAGATAAGCAAATAGATTGTTCTCATATCCCTGACCCACCGCCGCGGCTTCGAGAGACTAGCGGTGACAGTTTTTGTGACGTTAAAAAGGAGGCCAAGCTTATTTCGAGGTCGCCTTAGAGCGCGTAATAGTAAAATAAATTCTAACGCGTTGCGATAGACATATAAGATATATATACAAGATGTAAGATATCTGTGAAAGGCAATGGATATACAAATACGAGTTAGATATGACACTAGCGCACCAAAACTGAGGTACTCAAACTACGCCAATCGGTGTAATTAGATTGCCATTCTATAGACTGCTATCTACTTCTACTTCTTCTAAGGCAGTTGGCGGTCCTGTAGATCTCGCCAATGACACAATAGACTGCTATTTATTTCCGTATCAAATGTTCTATATCATTTGTCACATTCACTTATGTATATAACGTAAAACGGAACAATTTTCAAACGCTGCGCAGTATGGGAAGGTGTCATCTTTATTAAAACATTGTTTGAAAGGAGCCAGTATTGAGATCACGGCTGATAGGGGAAAGTGGAAGGAAACAACATGTTGTGGTGACCTAGTGTGGGATAAGTAGGGACAGTACGCCTTGCTCAGTCTCAAGTTCCCGGGCACCACAGTTAGGCTACAACTGTTGTAGGACCACGCAACAGTACGCTGTTGCAAGAATGGGCAGGT